TTCAGAATTTTTTCTTTCATATTAACTTTAGTGAATTTAATTATGATGTGCCTGGGGGATGTCTTGTTTGGGTTGAGTTGTGCTGGGGTTCTGAAACTGTCTGCTATCTGAAATTCTGGATCTCTCGTGATGTCTGGGAAATTCTCTTTCAATATTTCATGAAGAAGAGCCTCTGTGTTTTGTGAGGCAGCTTCATCACTTTCAGGGATTCCTATAAGGCGAATATTAGTTTTCATCAAATTATGCCAGAACTCTTTAAGAGAAAGATCCGTTCTTGTTTTCCATTTTTTTTTTCATCTTTGTGCTGTTGGGGTTGTTCAAAGTCTTTGTCTTCAATGTCAGAGATCCTTTCTTCAGTTTGTTCCACTCTGTTACGAAGAGATTCCACCGTGTTTTACAAATCTTTGAGCGCTACAACCTCTTGTCTCAAAGTTTCAAAGTCTTTGATCATTTTATTTTTGAAATTGTTGAATTCCTGAGTCATCTTTTGAATAATTTCTTGGGACATATTTTGAATAATTTCTTGAGACATTTTTTCAATCCTTTCTTGAAATTCTAGCTCTTTCCTTTCTTCCATTCTATTAATCTTGTTTACTATCCACATTCTGAACTCAAATTCTGTCATCTCAGCCATCGGGTTGGATCTTCAGATACCTCTGCCACATCCTTCCTTGGGGAGGTTGCTCTTTTGGTTATTCCTACTCCCGGAGTTTTTCCGCTGGCTCCGCCCCATGCTGGATTTACTCTGGTTGGCTAGGTGAGCTGGTAGGAGGAAGTTGGGTTGGGAGCTCTGGGAGTGATATTTTGCTGGCCTTTTTGGGCAAAGGCTGGGACTAGGGTCTGTATCTTTTCCCCTAGAACTTTGCCAAGGATGCAAATAATGCTACAGTCTGAGAGCCTAGAGGTCTGCTTGTCTCTATCTTGTTTACAGATGGTATCTGTTCTACCTTAGAAAATTGATTACTCTGGGTTAAGATCAGCTGTGGAGGAATAATTGTGATTAAGTCACCCCTCCCCTTACTGGCGATGGTTGGGAAAGGAAAACCACACATTCCCTCAATCACACCCCCAGAGTATCACTTTAGATAGTTCTCAGGTGATTGGCCCAGTTCAAATGATATGAGACAAGTGTCACAGTTAACACAATTCTCTGTGGGGGAGTTCGAGAGGTCTCTGGCAACTGTACAGCAGGGATCTTCTGGTCGCACAGGTATGGCCTGCTCCGGTGTTCTGTGGGGTCAGAGGGACCCGCCCAGCAAATAAAGTATTCTAGGGAGGTTGATGCCTCCTATCCCCCCTTGTAACTTTGTCACACGCAGTCACTGGAGACCCCAGGGGGCTGTGACCTAGTTGCCTAATAAGCGAGTGTGGCAGGGCTCTGTGTCTGCCAAAATCAAAGTAGAGCCAGTGCCAGCCCCACACAGTTATTGCTCTTCGACCCCCACCAGCAAAGGAAACTGAGGCTTGACTATCTTAGGCACTCAGTGACAACTGGAGAATATTCTACTTCAGGACAATTTGGGCCAGAGAAAAACCTGAGAGCATCAGAGATTCTCCCTCAACCACCAGTTAATTTGCCCAAATGAAGAGATCCAAACCTATTGACCTGGTCAGTACCCACTCCCTGGTTGGAAAGATCACAAGGTCTCTAGCAACTAATTAATAGGAGTCTACTGGTGGTATAAGTGTGGCTTGCTCTAATGCTCTGAGGAGTCAGAAAGGCCTGTTCAGTAGATAATTTGGAGTAAGGAGGCTGAAGTCTCTTTCCCCTCCTTACTCACCCTTTGCCGCTGGACTCTGGTAACTTCACTCTCAGTTAGCCCCACCAATAGTTTTTGTTGACCCAGACTCTGTAACACAGTCCTATCCAATGGGCGAGTGAGTCAGGGTTTTGTGTCTACCAGAGTCCAGGTAAGGTCAATGGGTTCATCAGGGTTTTGTGCTTGACAGAGTCCCAGTAATGTCAATGCCTTCTCCACTTGGTGACCACTCTTTGTGGCCAGCCAACAGGGATAGTTGAATCCTATCAGCCTCAGGGACTCAATGGGAGCTGTAGAATATTCCGCTTCGGTTCAATCTAAGCCTGGAATTTGTTTTCTTGAAGTCGTGGTTAGCCTCGGTGGGGAGGATGTGTGTTTATCTATCTCTTCTGTCAGTTCAGCTCCCCACTTTCAGCTTCGTTGGGTTCTTCCAGTAGTTGTCTCTCTCCCTGAACTGACGTTTATGTTGAAAGCTAGCTCTAGTCAGTTCTCATCTGCTATTCCTCCAAATTCTTATTGAATGTGAAATTTTAGTTAGGGAATATAGCCAACCCGGAGATTTAGCAAAGTACAAAGTACATTGAAACAAGGCAGACAAATAAACAGACTAAAATGCTACCAGACATACAAGCACTGCAATGCCCAGACACTCAGCCACATGTAAACAAACAGACAAAGAAGTAAACAGAGCAATAGACAAACCAGTCAACTAACAGATCAAAAATGAAAGAAGGGAGAAAGGAAAAGAAAAAAAAATAGTGATAATAAAGGATAACCACAGAAATGTTGGTCTTAGAATGATAGAGCAAACAAATAGGAAAGCAAACAATCCACGAAGAGAAAGTGCCAACATATATATATAATGAAAAGTAAAAGACTAAAGATTAAAAAAAAGAAAAAAAAAGAAAAAAAGGAGGGCACCACTAGGAAAACTACCTTTTTTTTTTTTTTGAGTATATACAAACAAGTCTCTTTTTCAATGTGGTGGGGTTCCAGTTAAAAAATATATATATAATTGTGCTGCAGTATATTTACTAGACAACAGGTGGCGCTGTGAGTGGTCCCTATGCTAATACCAAAAATGGGGGAAAAGAGAAGGAAAGAAAAAACAAATGGAGAATCTTTGCTGGCAGGATGCCAGATTCTCCCTACAACAGTTCCCACAGAGTGTTGGGTATCTTGGATTAACTTCAGATGCCAGATGGCTCCCTGCAGATCATATTGAACTCTCTGCGCTTTGGGGGGAGGTGTTATGGAGATGCCATTTTGGAGGTTTTACAGTACATCTGGTTCCTGGCTGGCAGCCCACTTCTATCTGTCCTCCAAACTTGGGACACAAGTTCACACTTCGCCAGACTTTCACTCAACTCCTAATTTCCCCTTGAACAGAAAACCGTTGTGGTCCGAGGGAAAAAAGCTGGGACCACCCCTTTTGCGGTCCGTGTTCAGTTTATTTCCAGAGTGGGAGGGGCCAGAGCCTCCGCCGCCGCTGCTGTTGCCACCGACCCTTGCGGGGAGACGTTCAAAAGATTTTTCAGTGTTTGTAGGAAGGGAACCAATTCCCTGCACTCAACTCCTGGTTTCCCCTCAAACAAATTTGTGTGGTCCAAGGGAAAAGAGCTAGAGTGCTCCTTTTGCCCTTGGATTTTAGTTTGTTTCTGATGGGGGAGGGGTTATAACTGCTGCCGCTGGAGCAGAACGTTCAAAAGACTCTTCAGTGTTTGCAAGACGGGAACCGATTCATCCTGCCTGTCACCGCGTCAGTGCAGCTCCAGAAAGACTTCCAAAATTACGGTTCCGAAGGAGAGTCCCTTCCCCTTGAGTTTCTGTCCGAATGCCTGGATCCCTAACACTCCAAACTGGGTCCAAATGTCTCCCATTTCTGGCCACCAAATTCTGCCCAGGAATGCACGCCTCACCACACCCTCCGCGAGTCATGCAAACTCCCCGCGAATTGGGCACAGGAGCCTTTCTTGGGGGAGGGATTGGTTTCTGTCTCTCAGAAATCAAGCCCCGTGACCTAAGCCACGGACCTGGCACTGCAGGTGGCAGATGGCGCCGTTTCCGCTGTTGCCCTATGTTTTTTCTGGCTGACACCAGAAAAAACATAGTTTTGGGCCACACTTCCAATCCAGCAATTCAGCTCTTTGCTGGTCACCCTGCGCTGCTTATCCGCACAAGAACTCCATGCAGAAGAGATCCAACAAGCCCACTCTCACCTGAAACCACCAGGAGAATTGACTCAGGGATGCATCTCCTCCACCATCTTGCTCTGCCTCATTTTAGATAAATTTTTAGCAGTGGGATTATTATAGAACATGGCAATTCTATTTATACTTTTGGGGGTAGTCTCTGCTGTTTCCCGTATTTGGCTGTGCACATTCTCATTGTCAGTGTGTAAGAGTTCCTTTCTCTCCACATCCTCCTCATCATTTGTTATTTTTTGTCTTTCTTATAACAGTCATCAACCTGGAATGAGAAAATACCTCATTGTGATTTTGATTTTCACTTTTGTCATGGTTAGCAGTATTGAGCATTTATTCATTTATTTTTTGACCATTTACATGTCTCCTTTTGAGATGTGTGTTCATATAATTTGGTAATTTTAATCAGTTTTTTTTATATTTAGATGTTTGTGTTACTTGTATAATCTGAGTATTAATCCCCTGTCACATGAGTAGTTTCCAAATATTTTCTTTTATTCTGTAGGTTGCCTTTCACTCTGTTAATTGCTTCTTTGGTTGTTAAGGTGTGTAGTTTCATATAATTACATTTGATTATTTTTGCTTTTGAGGTCTTTGTCATAAAATATTTTCCCAGACCCATGTCCTAATTGTTTTCTCTATTTCCTTCTACTAATTTAATTTTTCATAGCCTTACATTTAGGTCTTTAATCCACTTGGAGTTTATTATTTGTATAGGTTGAGAAGTGAATTTCTACTTTCACTCTTCTACATATGGATATCCAATTTCCCCAACACCTTTAAGCTTAAACTGTATTTTTTTAAGTTAGAAAAATTCTCAACCATTATCTTTTCAATTATTGATTTTTTCATATTTTCTATTTTCTCTTTATAGAAATCCTTATATTTCCATTCTATCCTCTATTGTGCCGATGGTTGTCTTCTTTTTCCTTTTTATCCATCTTCTCTTCTTTTCCCTCTTTTCCTTTTGAGACTGAAAAAGTAATTTTAAAAACCAAGATATAAGTTACATAATTCATTGTTGTTGCCATGTGCAGTTTATGGGTTTAACAAATATATATATATATATATACACACATATACACAACAGAAGCAAAATAAAAGACCATATTATTCTCTCAATAGACTCAGAAAAACCTTTAGATAAAATACAGCATCCTTTTCTAATTAGAACACTGAAGAATATAGGTATATGTAGCACATTCCTTAAACTCAAAGCTGTCTATGACAAACACACAGCTAATATTTTACTGAATGGAGTAAAACTAAAAGCTTTTCCAGTTAGAACTGGAACCAGACAAGGTCATCCTCTGTCACCATTACTATTCAACAAAGTGCTGGAAGTTCTAGCCAATACAATCAGGCAAGAGAAAGAAATAAGGGGCATTCAAATTGGAGCAGAGGAGGTCAAACCCTCCCACTTTGCTGATGATGTGATCTTATACTTAGAGAACTCCTGAGACTCAACCACAAGACTCCTAAAAGTAATGAAAAATTATAGTAATGTCTCAGGATATAAAATCAATGTCCACAAATCAATAGTAATTGAATATGCCAAAAGCAGCCAAGATGAGAAACTACTTAAGGACACAATCTTCTTCATAGTATCTTCAAAGAAAATGAAATACCTAGGAATATGCCTTACAAAAGAGGTGAAGCATCTCTATAAAGAAAATTATGAAAACCTAAGAAAAGAAATAGCAGAAGATATTAACAAATGGAAGAAAGAACATACCATGCTAATGGCTAGGATGAATCAACATTGTTAAAATGTCTATACTTCCCAAAGAAATCTATAGATTCAATGTCATCCCTATTAAAATACCAACATTGTACTTTCAAGACTTGGAGAAAATAATTCTTCATTTTGTATGGTCAGAAAGACTACCATATAGCTAAGGCAATTTGTAGTAGTAAAAACAAAACCAGGGTCATCAGCTTAACAAACTTTAGGCTGTACTACAAGACAATAGTGATCAAAACATAATGGTATTGGCACAAAAATAGAGACATAGACATCTGGAACCGAATAGAAAACCAGGAGATGAAGCTAACATCTTTCTTACAGTCACCTAATCTTCAATAAACCAAACAAGATCATACAGTAGGGGAAAGAGTCCCTATTCCATAAATGGTGCTGGGAGAACTGGATAACCACATGCAAAAGACTGAAACTGGATCCACATCTTTCTCCACTCAGAGAAATTGATTCAAGATGGCTAAAACACTCAAATTTAAGTCATGAAATGATAAAAAATCCTCAAAGAAAGCATAGGTAAAACACTTGAAGATATTGGCCTGGAGAAAAACTTAATGAAGAAGACCTTCTTTGGCAATTGCAACAACAAAAATAAACAAATGGGACTTAATTAAACTGAAAATCTTCTGTACACCTAAGGAGAGAACAACCAAAACAAATAGACAACCCACACAATGGGAAAGGATATTTACATATTTTGAATCAGACCAAAACTTGCTAACTAGGATCTACAGAGAACTCAACATAAAAAGAGCCAACAATCTCTTAAATCATTGGGCAAGAGAGATGAATAGAATCTTCTACAAAGAAGACAGACGAATGGCTAAGAAACATGGAAAACATGCTCATCATCCCTAAACATCAGAGAAATGTAAATCAAAACCACCCTCAGATGTCATCTAACTCCCGTGAGAATGACCCACATCACAAAGACTCAAAAAAGCAATTAACAGAGTGAAAGGCAACCTACAGAATAAAAGAAAATATTTGGAAACTACTCATGTGACAGGGGATTAATACTCAGATTATACAAGTAACACAAACATCTAAATATAAAAAAAACTGATTAAAATTACCAAATTATATGAACACACATCTCAAAAGGAGACATGTAAATGGTCAAAAAATAAATGAATAAATGCTCAATACTGCTAACCATGACAAAAGTGAAAATCAAAATCACAATGAGGTATTTTCTCATTCCAGGTTGATGACTGTTATAAGAAAGACAAAAAATAACAAATGATGAGGAGGATGTGGAGAGAAAGGAACTCTTACACACTGACAATGAGAATGTGCTGTGGAGAGAAGGGAACATATGTATGCTGCCAGAGGGACTGCAAACTAATACAATCTCTTTGGAAGGAAGTATGGAGAGCCCTCAAAGAACTCAAGCTAGACCTCCTAGTTGATCCTGCAATTCCATTACTGGGCATCTACCCAGAAGAAAAAGAAAATCCTTTTACTGTAAGGGCACTTGACTAGACTGTTTATTGCAGCTCAATTTACAGTTGCCAATGGATTAACAAGCTGTGGTATATTTCTTCCATAGAATACTATTCCGCCATTAAAAAAATGTAGACTTTACATCTTTTGTATTAACCTAGATGGAAGTGAAACACATTGTTCTTAGTAAAGCATCACAAGAATTAAGAAGCAAGAATCCTATGTACTCAGTTCTAATATGAGGACAACTAATGACCTAGTACATGGTAGTAGGTGGGGAAAGGGGAGGGATGAAAATGGAAAGAGGGAAGAGAGTGGGGGGGGTCACTGTGTGACATAACTTTGGGGGGCAGAACAAAATTATAAGAGGTACTTTGCCTAACAAATACAATCAATGTAACCTGGTTCTGTGTACCCTGAATGAATCCCCAACTATCTATCTATATATGTTTTTTCACACCACCAACATAGTAAAATACAGAGCAGATATGCCATCCAAAAATTTCTCCTAACCCTACCTGAAGCTCTGGATACAGGTGGATTTGTCTTCTATGCCTATAGTTTTGCCTATTTCAGTATCTTGCATTAATGGAATCATACACTGTGTAAGCACAAGAGATTACACCTTTTATTCATCCACTTTCCTCTCTGCTGTTCTACCTTCATAACTCTTGTGGTCTTGTCCTCCCTGGACTCCTAATTCTGTAACTTCAACAGCAGGGAAAGTGGTGAGATTGAGGAATTGTTAGAGTAAGGACTTGTATTTTATTTTTTCTTATTTATTTTTCATTTGTAGAGCTTTTTATATATCTTATGAAACCAAGTTATTTGTCAAAATACATGAGCTGTGAATATTCTCCCACTTTTTTTCTTTTTTTAGCTTATCTGGAATAGTCTATTTTTTTTTTTTTACATTAATGCATTTATGGGGCAATGCATAATGCAGTAATCACAATGTGCTGACTTCATATACAATTTGGAATGCTTACATCACACTAGTTAACATTTCCCTCACCTCATTTACTTATTGTGTTATGACATTTATACTCTATACTTAATAGATCCTACATATACCCTTGCAATATGCACCATAGGTATGGTCCCACATTCACCCTCCCTCCAACTGACCTCCATTCTTCCCTTCCATTCCCTACTTTTTCATCCTTGGCCATAGTTGTGATCTATTCTTCATGTGAAAGTGTGAGTTATTATAAATTGGTTTCATAATAGTACCAAGTACTTTGGATACTTTTTCTTCCATTCTTGAGATACTTAATTAAGTAGGATATGTTCCAGCTCCATGCATGTAAATATAAAAGAGGTAATGTCTCCATCTTTTTCTAAGGTTGCATAAAATTCCATGGTATACATATATCACAATTTGTTAATCCATTCATGGGTTGATGTGCACTT